GCAAAAAATAAAGATAGGCCTCTAAATATATAAAAAAATTATACATAAGCAAAATTTGTTAATACCATGATAAGTCGATATGTGTTATAAAAACAATCAACCAAATGAATGATAATATATATATATATATATATATATATATATATATATATATATATATATATATATATATAATTTGGTCCCTGTCATGACTTGGGCCTTGTGCGGTCTTCCACCTCGCACACTCTTCAGAGACGCCTCTGATAATCTGTAATGTTTTTTTTTCATGATTTATATCATCAAGTAGATTGATGTAATTATGCTAAATAGATGCTTGAAAGACTGAAAATGGAATATGATAGATTCAAAGAGGTAAATGCAAATCAGAATATTAATCTGAAAAGAAGTTACAAAATTTTCTTTTCTTTTCATACAAAGGTGAGTCCCTTGTATATACCTTTAATATCTTAAATTTGTCTAGTAAATGATTTGAGAAAGCTGAAAGTAAATAAATCTAATTGTATTTGGTTGCATAAGTGTAACATCGTGATTTTTTCATCCAAATTTTTTTTAATTTTTAAAACATTTATTTAACAGAATACGTTAGCGGAAATAATATTTAAAGTTTAAAGGAAACATCACCAATGTTACGTTTATTTTCAAAAACATCATTTGTCAAAATATAGTTCATAAACCAAATCAAAAACAAATTCTCAAAAACATGTGTTAAGAAAACTCCACGACATGTCCAAATGGTATCAATACTAAGTCATAAACTGGAATGTAACTAGCTAAAAGCCCCATCCTCACCAAGCCGGCAAACTATGCTACCTGTACCAATGCAAGGCAACAACAAGCAAAGAAACAAGTGATCCAATTTTTGCAGCCTCCTACACTTTATCCTCCCTCTCGGTTCGTTGCAGCCCCACTCCCAAGCCAATTGCATTTTTTTTTCTTCCGTCCGTTCCTATGATCGAGTGTGGCACAAGGGTCGACTTCACTCTTGTTCTCCAAGTCGACGCACAAAAGGTATCGGTTTTTTTCTTGATCCTCAATCGACGAAACTTAGCAATAGGAAGTCTCGACCAATTTGTTTCTTTTCTTGCTGTCGACGTAGCACAAACACACACAGGAGGAAGAGGGCCGATCAATTCTACCCAAGGAATAAATGGGAACGTGAACAAAAAAAACGTCTGAATCCTTAAATCCCAATAAACACCCGTCGATCCCTCTACATGGGGGTTATTCCCGACTTTTGCAATCTAGACCCTAAATTCTCCATATTATACCCTTTTTACCCTAACCCTAATAAGTTAACATTTGATAAAAAAAAATAATAATCATGAGCCACATGCGTTAGAAAGAATAGGTTTGAACTCTTGTTGCATGGTACGGTCAGAGAATAAGCGTATGAAGAAGAGTTTCTAGGCACTTTTCAAAGGATCTCCTTCTCAGGGTGGAAAGAAGTACGCAATAAAGTAAACTGTCCTTTCAAGGGAAGTCGAAAGCACTGACCTTGGTCCAATTCACCCATAGGAGGAAAGAGAGGTTTTTCTATTATAAGGAAAAGTTTATTCTCGGACTTTCAGTAATGCCCTCTCCCCTTTGGTCCTCTTTGGCTCTGTCCAAGTGAAGTGAAACTCGGGAATGAAGCAGATAGGTCTCAGTCGAAGGCATGAAGCGATGGGATGATATGGAAGAAGATTCAGTGATCCCAGCAGGGTCAATCTCATAGGGGAAGTCCGCTAGTGCACTTAGCGGCTTGAAAACGACTTTATAAAGGTGCGGAGCGAAAGCAGAAGCTATGGAATGTGGATCGGGATTAGAGCAAGTTCCGTTCTGGGTGAATCAAGAAAGGAAGTTCCGGGAGTTCTGTTTGCCTAGTTGGAATCGAAGGAGAAGGTGAGGCATTGCCGATCATGCATGGATGAGAGACCCGGCATGAAGGAATGAACAAGATAATCAGGGGCAACTGTCAGCAAATCAAATAAGGCTTTACTTTTTGGAATTAGAGAATAACTTCTTCGCGTGAGCGGCGTACGTACAAGGCTGTTCGGACTCCCCCCCCCCTCTTGTATGAGGTGCGTTGCCATCGTCTCTTTCCCCTTTGCCAGGTTACGCGGCATGGATTCGCTGATTGACGAATCGGATCTTGGCTCGCTGTCCCACCGACGAACCAGTCTAGAAGTCGAAAGGGAAGGCAATAGAAAGGGGTCTCCCTCTCTTTGTCTTCTTCTCGCCGCTTTTCTCGTCCATCCTGCCCTACGCCGCTTACAGATTCAGTTGCAGGTATCTAAGCATCCATTAGTTAAGGGGGTTGGGGCGCGAAGCGCAAACCGCTCTTCGATCTCCCGGTGAGTTGGACGGGAAGAGACATAGGGGGTTATCTATGAAGCATTTTAATTGCCCCTTTCTTTTGGAATAGTTGAAAGTCCTCTTCTTAGGGGATTTTCTTTTTTCTTATCAACATAGAGTTGGAACTTAGCCGATGGACGAGTGGACCAGTGTGAAGCTTTAGTTTCGTTGCCGGCCAGAGCTCCTAGCCGACGACCGGCTACCCCTTTCGAGCTCAGCTGACCCCTTCTTGATTCCGTTTTTTCCCTATTTGAGATAGATGAATCAATGGAACTTTGATCCCCGGTTCCTGCTTGGTCTAATGTCTGGGTGCGTATGGCGGTACACTGAGAGCACCTTTCAAGTCGGCTGAAAAAGAAAGAAAAAAGGCTTTCGTCGTCTTTTTCCCGCTTTCACCTTCGATTGCGAAGGGCTTTTTTTCCGGTTTTCAATTCCTCTCCGGCGAGGTTTGAACTTCGCGTGGTGGGAAGGCCTTCACGATTCGCATCTTCCCGTCCAGCAAAGAAAGTGAAGGGGCGCGGATAGCGAGTTGGAGGACGCTGCAGAACCGCGTGATTGATCCATCTGCGCTATTCCCTAATTGAAGAAAGTTGTAAAGCCTTCAGAGCCTCAGTCCCTACCATTTTTTTTTAAGAAAATGAAAGCTGACTAGCAATCGCTCGTTTTTCTTATTAGCATGGGATTGGATGTTAATAATGAAATAAAAACATATATATATATTAGAAGAGAAGGCAATCCCCGTGGAATTCCTATCGATTTCCGATGGATAACAATCCATCTTTCTCGCTTTCGCTCTTTCTCCCAATCAGTCGCGAGGGTTCCGGGCATGAGAACGCAAGTGCCGGAATCAAACAAAAGGTCCGAACGTCCGAGGACGAAAGAGAAAATGCTCCGCGGGGAAGTCGTTTCCATCTAGGATAGCGTATTCGTGTCGGTTAGACGTCGGCCATGAAATCCATCACTATACCGAGCAAATCATGGGCATTCACATCTCGGTCAAAGGGAACTGTGCGCGATTCTCTCGTGAATCGCCTTCAGCAAGGTATGGCATTCAGGGTCTTAACTCAGGGATAAATCTTTCTTCATAGATACAAGACATTCGTTGCTGATCTAAAAAAGATCTTCTCCCGTGGGCGTTAGCGGACGTTTTTCATTTTTCACTCGGTCCTGACTTCCCAAAGCAAAGGTTTTTTTTAGGTTTACTTTGGAAAGGCGCTAAACAGGCCTATAGGTTCGCCTTTCTATTTATAATAGAAGAAGTCTAATATAATTAGTATAGAAGTCTATATAATTAGCCAAATCGTCTGAAGCATGAACAGAATCGCCTTTGTTCCGAAGGCCTAGCGAGTTAAGCGAGTTCCTTTTTTCTTTTTTCAAAGGCAGTCCTTTTCTTTCCCCCGGACCGATGACTCGCTTGTTCAGTACTGCTAACTCTTATTGGAGGATTCCGTCCCCTCGGGACTACCAGTAGCTTCGGTTGTTGAATCTCGTGCAAGTTAGGTTGTGGTTGTATTGGCTGCAAGCGGAACGTAGGCGCTTTAGGTGTGTGTTGGCCATGCACTCTCGCGTCGTGTAATGTCGTATGTATGATAGAGGTGGTGTGGTGATTGACCTCAATGCTAATGGTTATCCCCAAGGTTCAACGAATGAATGAAGCTATGATATGATCGTACCCGGATAGAGATGATAGTCTTCCTCTGATGTATCCAAGCCGGCCATAATAGAATCGATAGGCGAAGCAGCCAATAGCAGTCTGTTCTCGCCTATCGATAGATAGCTAGACATCAAGTAAGTGGCTTGATGAGGATAACTAAGCTGACACGCCGGAGTTGGCTGCTGGCACAACAGGGTGGTGCCTTACCGCACCGCAGGCGGACGCGTGGTAGCGTTCGTGGTGGTGCTTCAGGATTCCAATGTACTGCGTCCAAGATCAGAACGAGCTTGCCGGCGGACCACTGCCGTCCCATTCTTGAGTGAGCTGGAGCGCAGCGGATCCCGCTCCTAAACATAAGGGATAGGGGTCCTGGGGCCGGGCCTACCATATAAAAAGGGTCGTAGAAAAAGAACCCGGCCACCTATTTCATTCGGCGTTCCGGGGCAGGGGCCCGACCGATTCGACCTACTTTTGCTTTTGGATAACAAGAAGGCGAGCTTCTCTGCTTTGATCAAATCAAAAGCCCAGTCAGCCACCAACTCGGTGCAGGTCACGTGACCTACAGATCGGCCTTCGCTTTTTGAGGCTTCCTCTACGCACATCTCTATGTGCCCGCAGCACTTCCATATGGAGAAAGATAGGCTTACCATGTTCCATCAATAGCACCTAACCTATGCCGATTTTGGCGGACCGTGCTCCACCCCGGTGAACTCATGCGGTCCGACGTGCCCAGAGGCCAGAGGCGAATCCGTTCACAGTCCGTAGGACCAACACCATTCGAAGGTGGGCGGCCCACCCCGCCTAGAACAGTTATGTTTGACTGGGCTTACACACATTCGCTCACTTACGCTGTCCCCCCTCAGCTCACCCTAGCCCCCGGCCTTTTGCTCTTCTAACGTAAGCTCCAAGGCTTCACACCAAGTCTTCACTGACATAATATGCATGCTTAAGTAGGGTCAGGCAGAACCGTTGTTGCCTGATGGGAACTTCCCCCATATTGCTATCAATGTCTTCATGTCGCACGACCTCTTAACATTACACCACTGAATCCCCAATCCTTTGCTTGCTGTGCAGTGACAGTACCAATATCCACTAATCGTTGTTTCCAGATACGGTTGCCGGTTGACATCTCTTCTAATTCGTCGATACTAGAAGCAAATTGTTGTGTGGAGGAATCAATATCTCGACATAAGCCAAGAGGCAGATCTTGTGCCACTCCACCTGGTCCCCGAGTTGCATTAGCTAAAGTGGATCTACGATCACGGGAACTAATCAATCATAAAAAAGAGAGAGCTCGTAGGCCTTATTCTGCAGATCAAAGAGCGACTTAATTCCCCATTCATACGGGTTTTTGATTCCAAGAAAGATAAAGAAAAGAAGAGGATTTATCCTCTAGTTGCGAATTTCTAGGGGAGAAATACTGGCTCAGGGTAAAGGCAGCCCCCCGTCGGGTAAAATCCCATAATGCCTGTCCCAAGGCCGAGCGACCGCGATGAAGAGGGAGGTGCTCCTTTACTTGACTGGAAATGACGGGTCGACAACTCCGAATCACAAGCTATTGACAACTAACTAAACTACTCCGGATGAGGGGTGAAATACGCCGCCTTCCTTAAAGTATACGCGCTTTCTCACTAAATTAAAATTAGGGAAGTTAAGGATTTAATACCCCCACCCAGAAAGACGTGTTTTCCATTTTTAAATAAGGCATGTAAGCCTCTTTGTCCCTCCCGGTTCGGCAGCAGAAGCATTCTCAGCTCCCGAAGAAGATGAAGCTACTGAGATAGGAATTAGGAGCTGCTTTTCCGGCCGATAAAGCTATTGAGAAAGCCAACAATTCTATCCGTTTATTCCGAATATCTTAGATCGAACATCACAAGCCTTATCACCAGAATTCACAACTCACTCCCGACCGATAAGAGGCGCCTCCGTCCAACCTCGATAGTATTGAATGCTCCTTCCATCCAAGCAAGAGAGTTGCATTTTATGGTCAGAACTAAATCCCGGGATGGTGAATTAGACTCAGCCTATGCTGGCCTTATACATCCGGGAATCTTCTTAAATAAGAGGGCCACGGCCGTGGCGTTGGGCAGAAAGCCGATGATTTCGGCGAGGCCCTTCCCTTTAACACGAACAGCCAGATTAATTACAGGTCATCCCCTACCTCCGAATCCTTTGACGGACACCAGAGAAGTTAGTTCTTCGCCTATCACATTGGTCGACTTGAACTTCCCTCTAGTCCTAGAATCACTACCTCTTTAAACCTCTGATGATAAAGTCGTAGGTGAAAGCGGGCCTTTCACCCATACTCATTCAAAAATGGGGGAGCTTACTTATCCATTTCGAGATAGTTGCTACCTATATGTTCGGATTCATTTACTACAAGAAAGCCACTATTCCAAGCATAGGTCGAGATTTAAAGGCAAGAAGGAGTGTTCAAGCTGTAGATGGTTCCCAGTTATGCTTGTTTCCTCTCTTCCATTGCTTCACTTCAGAATCATAAGGAGACTAGGTTATTCTCATTCCTGCTTCAGTCCATCAATGCAGGAATGAATTGGAAGTGCGAGATGCACTAATCGGAAAGAGACTCTCTCTTGACCTGACTTTCCCTATTGGCTTTGACTGCGGCAGTCGCAACAAAGCGAAGCCTTCTTTTTCATTGTCTTACTTTACACGCAGAGCAGGAGCGGATCTCCAGCCCCATCTGCATAGGAGTTATTTGGGTAGAAGAACCCATCGAAAATAGTTCTCTTAGTATCGGAGTCTTCTTTTGACAGCTTGCACCTAGCTCCTTAACCTTCCTCGTACTAGTGGATGAAAGACCTCGTCTGGGCAACCTATTTGCATCTTGTGCTGGTAACACCAGTTCGCATCTGGCTATTCCACTTCATATAGCAATTAATGGCATTCTCCAGTCCAATCTGATTCTGCATGAATCGCATTCTCCAGTCCGATTCTACATGAATTGCTACTGAGACTGAGCCATATTCGCTAGCCGATCTGTCAGTTCTATAGGGTATGAAGCTCTTTCCTAGTATTGGGTTCAGGAATTCATGCTCGCAGGTAAAGAGACTAAAGAAACAAGAACATAAACAGTCTCTTGAAAGAGGGGAGCATTTGCCCACTCTGTGGTACATGAGCTCCTCGTCCAACTTACTGTCTTCCGATTTCATATCAGTTACAAGCTTGTCATTTCAATCACTTGCTACCTTTAAAGGAAAGCAGTTCACCCATTGAATCGATTAATCTAAGTCCCCTTCCTATAGAGTGAACGTGAAAGCCGGTCTATAGTCCACCATGCTAATGGAATGTCAGTGACACAAGTAGTAAATTCATTCGTTGACAGGAGCGAGCAGAAAGAGAGAGCGTAAAGAGGGTCTTATCATGATGGCATGCTTTCCTTTCTCCTGTTGCAGTAGACTACAGTCTTACCACTAGAATAGAAAATAGGTCCAAAAGCAGGAAGCACAGTCAGGAAGGTAAGTTAGAACTCTTTTCTGAATTCCTATCTATAAAGTCAGGCTTGTCTATACAATACAACAAAGTGAGGTAAAATCATTAGTTAGGCTAGTGGGAAAAATTACTCTGTTTCCGTCTTTTGAAAGAAGTAAGGTGTTCTTCCTTCATCCTCCATCCACACTACGAGGGCCGGCCGGAATATGTTTGGCTGTTCAATAGCCAATTCCATTTCGGTTCATTTTGGTATGCTGGGAAGATGAAGAGATGAACTTTAGAATTCAGTTACAGAGAAATTCAGCAAGAAGCTTTCTGGTTGGAAAGGTGCCCGCCCTCTTAGGTCAAGCTGGTAAGGCCTTGTTTTTAATGAAATCCACTCTTCAAAGCTTGCCTTTATTCCCTCCTTGTCCGGGGTCCCGAAAGGAATGGCTGGTAGGATTGAAGGAATTCGGATGAAATGTCCACGGTCTGGTGTTGGAGGGAGAGACAGAATTCATCTCATCGCATGGGAGAAGGCTCTCCGAAGCTTCGATTTGGAGGCTTGGGCTGGAGCTCTAGCTAGTTGGACTAGAAGCTAGTTATTCCGGTCTACTTGTTGGGCAGGCCGGCCCTCCTTCATCCCTTCGTTCCAATCCATCCAGACTGCTATGGCAACCCGTACTAATTGCCCTTGCACTGATACCGGTAAGGGGAGCGTCGGCCAGAAGATAAGGGGAAAAATCGCACAGACTTATATACAGGGGAAGGACCTTATAATTATAAGAAAGGAAAGATTTCAAAAAGCAGATTAGGTACTTCCAACAGGAGAATAAGAAAGGAAGAAATAAGAGTGGAGAAAAAGGGAAATGGAATTCTTCATAAAGGGAGGGAACGCAAGGGGGACAGCACTAAGAAATCAGAAAAAGGGTCAAAGGAAGGGACACATCTTGATAGGGCAACAACCGGGTATAGGATATGGAAAGAGATCAACATGTTTTCTCGAACGAACAGATTTACACCGTCAATGACAGCGCACCAAGGGAACAACGGACAATCACGGCAAAGGCAAGCACGAATGCTGCTGCCTACGAGACCCATCCAGGGGAATCTTACACTGCGCGTAGAGAACCCCTCTCACTTTAGACAGAGAGGGAATGATGATGGGTAGCCAAACCGTGAGGCGAAGAACTCAACCGCTATACACGAGGGAGCAAGTGGAAAGAGTAGAGCAGCACCTTGCCGTAGAGAGGGTCCTAGAAAGGTTAAGAGTTCTGCACCGGTTGGAGTGGAATAGGAATCTAAAACAGAATTCGAGCAATTGGCTTTAACGAACCTATTTCATTAGAATGATCGAAGAACCCGCTTATCTATAGAAAGAGGGAGAGAGAATGAGAAATCACTCGACTGTTAAGGAGAGGAGGGGAGAGTTCGACCGCCCTAAGCCAACCAGAATGGCAAAGAAGAGTTATATTCGGCGACCGGTAGGGAGAGGAGAGGATGGGAGGAGAGAACGTCGACCATAAGGGAGACAGCAGTTACTTCGATGTGAGCAGAGTGCCCATTTCCTTACTTAGACTAACCTTCGTTTAGAAAGTCTCTCCCCTCGCTCTGACTCTTCCCATACTAAGACTTTTGTTGATCTACCTTTGACTTACTTCCTATCTCTACCCTTGATCCAAGGTAGCCGAAGGAGGGATTTTTACTAAGCTTTGCTGAAAAAAGTTGCAAACTTAAGTTCCGAAACTTTAGTCTTAACTTCGTTTAGTCAGAAGAACTTAGAACGGCGGTAGCAGGGCGAAATGGGATCTCCCTTGTCTCTCAGTCTCAGTTGCAATACTTGTACATGAAAGGCAGTGAAATACCATTCAATAGAAAGAGGATTGAATATCTCACTTCAATACCGATCTATCGAACTGTATACCTTCAAAATCGAACTTCTCCGAGCAGTTCTAATGCCATACCGATGGAATTCCTATCCAGTAGTAAACTTCGACAGCAAGGACCGTTTCACTTGTCTAGATGGCCACATCTAAACTTGTACTTATATGCAATACCGAAATAAGTCGGGTAGTGCCCACGATGGACTTGCCTTTCCGGCTAAGTACTTGACTTCAAAGACAGCTAGCTAGTTTCATTCAAGAAAGAGGATTTGTACCAAAAGAACAGGCTTTCTACCCCTTCTAGCGAGTTATTATCATCTGGGAGTTCTAGCGACTGACTTGCCCGCATCTCTTGCCTTAAAGGTTTCACTGCTCTAACTAGGGTATCCCGCATAAAGAAGTCAACTAGAAGGCAAAATCCACCTAGTCAAAATGGCAGTGACGGACTAATGTACTTGAGCCTATTTTCTCGATCGAGAAATGGCATTCTTTTATGCGCTTTCTCGCTAACAAGCCAAGCAGTCCCTAGCGGGCTATCCGTCATTAACTCGAAGAAGTGCAACAAGACCAGTATCGAACTGGGATTGCCTCTCTTTCAATCTTCGGAAGTTACTTTGTATCCCTTTCTAATGCAATATCTTCAATCAGATCTGTACGAGTGACAGGAAGAAGTCAGCTAGTTGCCATCCGCTCTGTCCCAATCTCCGGTCAATGATTGAGTCCGAACTCACCTAAAACGGCGTAGAAGGGCAAATCTACCTAGTCAAAACTCTTGTTTAGAGGAGCCCCTGAAATTTTGAAAGCTTCCTCGCCTTCACCCTATGAGTTCAGGGTGCTTTCCTGGCTCGCCTTCACTTATATCATAGGGTTGTGTTCAGTACGATCTTTAGCCTTTCTTCGTAAGATCCTGAGAACTGAAATGCCTAAAGACGGTGCTCAAGTCAGAAATGCGATCTTCTAGGGCAGGAATTCTTATATGCTAATTGCCTGAAATCCCTCTCATTTTGTCAATAAGGGAGAGGTTGGGAGATAGCTCTTAGCCTGTTGGTTGCTTGCCTGTGACTTGACTTCCTCGTACTCCTTCTCCTAGAAAGCGACTTCTTTCATTCCTCGACAGCTAGGTCTTTGCCGACTCTTAGCTTTCCAGGCGGGTTGGTGTTCAACCTTCATTCAATAGGGCTATCTATCCGAAAGGTCTTAATAAAAGAATCCCTGTAATAGAAGTTCATTCCTAAAGACCTTCCTAATCAGTAATTTGATGGTCTTCCGTAAAGACTTTCATGCGCACCTTCCTTCATAAGGACAGGTAACCAGGCGGGTGACTCACTCGTAGGTAGCACTCTCCGATGCTTTGACTCCTTCTTTTAGTAGTTCCTTTGAAGCTAGTAACTAGAATATAGGACCCGGAAGGCGGGCTCTTATTGCTCAAACCGGAGCGGTTGTAGAGTTTAGAAATCTCATTTGAGGGGATGCCTCTAGCAACAAGCCCCTCAGGGGCGGTAGTCTCCCTCCTCAGGTCGGTCGACGGTAGTCTCCCTAACGGTGGACAGGTAGCACTTCTCCGACTAAAAGAGAGCTTCCAAGCAGGGCCAGCCCTTTTTTATGCGCTGTTTTCCCAAAGAAGCTTTGCTCCTCTGGGTGCTAGGCGCTTCCGTGGTTCGCGAGAAGGAAAAAGGACTCATCCTTTGTTGCATCTGGCGCGAGATGATAAAGAGAGAGCTTCGTCTATCGATGAACAGCGGATTGACGGAGCTCTTGGCATTGCTTTGTTTTTCTCTCCTTTCCTATCGGCGAGTTCTGACCCTTTTGTTTGAATTTTCTTCGTTCGTACCGAACCGCTTGCAGAATCAAAATCCTTCCGTTTGAAGAAAGGAAGGATCCCAAAGAATCGATCTTTCTTTTAGTTGTTGAATCTCTCTTTGATTGATCAATGTGTGATATTCCGAATCCTCATTACTAATGGAATCAAAATGATCTCTGGATTGATCAGAAGATCCTTTCAATTGGCTAGAATCCCTTACTTGAACGAAACTAGATCTTGTGGAATCATATTGAATATTTGACGATACATTCCGTACCTTGCGAAAAAACTGATCCTTGTTTACCAACCACACATTGTCTAACCAAATCAAATTCTCTCTCGATACGTTCCTCAAAAGATCCGATTCGGGCGGATTCTTCCCCCAACTAACGAAGAGATCTTGGCGGAATTGCCACATATGAAATTGAGCACAATTTTGCAAAGAAATAGCCGACTTGTTTCTCGAGAAGAGATGGGAAACATGCTCAATATCATTTTATTTAATAGTTGACCCAGCCCCTTGTTGTTTGAAAAAACCCTCCACTTCAATTGGTATTTTTTCACGAAAAGCAGACATGAGATAACAAATCCAGTGTTTCACTAAGATTTCGAATAGTGGTCCCGAATTCAAGTTGATTCTATTTTGCCTCTTCCTCAGAGAAAGACGATCAAACAATTCCCAATCATGGTCCTTGCGGATCGGATCATCCCTATAATATACAAAGAAAAACTCCAGATATTTGAGATCTTTCTCTTTGAATAAGATCTCAATTCCAGCGACGGTTTCATTAGATATCTTACAACTAGAATCCCTCTTTTTTCCGATCCAGTCCCTCCACCACCGCGAACCCCAGTTAGATTCAGGCATGCTACACTTTTTAGTGATTGGGAGAACCCAAGTACTCTCTTTCGGATTCAGGAAAGAACTCTCATAGATCTTTTTTCCTTTTGGAAGATACAGGAGCGAAACAATCAACCTATTGATATTGGAAGACCCAACGGATTCTTCCAATGTATCATTTCTGGGTCCAATGGAATTCATAGGTATAGGAAGAAGCCCTATCAAATAGAGATTTTTTCTTTCGACCATATTTCGATTGTTAATACGATATATAAGGACCGCTACTCCAAAGAGTATTACACCCTTGATCGTGAAATATCGATTGCTTGTTGAACCCTGTGAATTGTGTGAAAGTAGGATACTCCAAATTCGGGAGTCAAAAAGTTTTATAAAACGTTCTTGGTGGAAAAAAATGTGAATGAAAGATCCCACTGAATTGAATTGGGTCCAGGAATCTAAGAAATAATGAGAATTCTTGATCTCTCTCAATATCTCTCTCAATTCTAAAATCCAGGACTTGAATTCATGTCCTGTCATTAAATTCCTCCTGATTTATTAGAACTAAAAGAATTCCATTTAAGCATCTCATTGCTTTAGTTGAAAGATTCCATTTGAATTGGAATCTGGTCATTCACTATGACCCGCTAAGCATCCATGGCTGAATGGTTAAAGCACCCAACTCATAATTGGCGAATTCGTAGGTTCAATTCCTACTGGATGCAGAAGAAAGAAGGCCCGCCAGAAAGAGGGGAGACCCCGGAACAATGTATGAAAGAGACTCTTGAAAGCTACCGAAGTGGACAATAGAGTGCTGCTTCTTATGAAAAAGCCCTCAATGCTGTGTGAAAGAGTGGCGGGGAATGACTGGGCTCAGGAGTAAAGTCAACATAGTGTGGAAAGTGGGGTCGACCTTCTAGTGCCTTGTAGGGAAAGAGAGGTTCTCTAGGCAGATAGAGAAGGAAGGGCCAATAGAGAAGAATGTTGAAATGAGAGTTGCATTTAGTAGCGCCGGCGCCTCATCCAAATGAGACTTTGAAAGCGAGATAGGGCCTAACTGGGAGGCAGGAAGAAGACTACACGAGTGGTTCGGGACGGAATCTCTTTGACTTTCTGGTGCCATAGCTTCGACTCCACCCTAGAAATAGTAATAGGAGGGAGCCGCTACTTCACCGGGAGATCGTGATGAGGCAAAAGGGGGCTTTATTAAAGTCCTCTGGGTCGTCCACTAAGTGAGTGAAAGAGGTCTCATTGGGAGAATTGGGAAGAGAGAAGGCCAGCCTCCCACTATGTGAAAGAAGAGCTTTTTCTCTCATATTCACTTCTATAGAATATATATAATAGGTAGTTCGCTTAGCCGCAGCTGAAGCCATAGATCTTGCCCGGGATGCTCCCAAGGTTCATCGGGACATTTTTTTCAACAAATGAACTAGCATCACCGTTCTTAAGCCTAGACTTGTTTTGGGGTTCCAAACCTCCTCCTATTGCCTTTACCCAGCGGCAAGACGCTTAGTTTTGTCGGAAAGGGAATGCTTATTCCCCTCTACTGTGCGGGTGCTAAGACTAGGCAAAGAATTAAATGAATCAGTTCGCTTGACCAACCCGAGCCTTCGAGCCTATAGTTCTTCTGATTTGGCTAACATCCTTCGATGACAAGCCGACCGAAGGAAGACGCACCGGGAGCCTACTTCTATCTCATCAGAAGCAGGCGCATAGGCTATAGAATATAGAATCCCACCTTCTACTCTATCAGCTACTCTAATTTTGAGTTGGTCATAGGTTGACAGTTTTCGGGGCTCACTTTTTGGGTCAGAACTATTGGAAGACGAAAGATAACTTATTTAGATGAATAGTGTGCCGATGCCATTACCCCCAAAAAGCCTACATTACCAGTGCGGGTTAAATCAGACAGAAACCAAGTCCAAGAAGACCGAGGAGGCCTTGGGGTAATAGAACAAGGGAGGAAGAAAGGAAGGAGCTTCGGCTCCAGCTCCGCAAAGGTAGACTTTTTCCAGGTTAGCTAGAGAGAGCGATATTCATCTTTTATAGCTTGTTTACCGGAGGCCTCGTTCTCTGGTTTGATAGAATAAAGAAGTAGAATAGATCTCTCTTCTTAAAGTATACAACACTTCCCGCAAGGTTCACACCGCGGAAAAGGTGAAACGTCGTCTCTATCAAATAAGCTATGATACTCTGGTAATACCTGTTGCTGATCCTCATCTTGTACTTGTGAACAGCAGCAGAGGCCGCATATGATAGGTTATTCCAGAATCAATGTGAATATCGCCGAATAGGAGACTTCGTTGCACAATCGTGAGTCTCTTGAATATAGAGAGAAGTTTGACTTGTAAAAAAAGATGTGAGTGTCCCTAAAACTATGCCCTTGTTCTAATAGTACAAGCTCGCTATAAATCCAGTTTTTTGTATATAGATAGAGAGCCCCTAGCCCGAGAGACTAGTTCTCTCCAGTGTCTTTGACAACTATATACGAAAGAGTACGATAACAGGCCTTTCAGTGCCATCGAAAGAGCCTAACGCCTATATCCTACCAACCTCAATCTGCACGTCCGAAAGGGACCCTCTAATTCTATCATTCAGAAGCCTCAGGACCGTATCCATGAGGGTACAAAGATTTTTTTGAGGCTAGCAACCGATAGCAACTGTAGCATTAGGATCGACATTGGAAGATTTTCGTCAAGGTCATACTTAAACCGTATGATCCTTATAACTCATGATAGTTTGACTAAGGAAGCATGCATTGGAGCTTACTTGTTCTCAAAACAGGTGGTCAGGCTAGTACGGAAGTCGGTATTTTTATTCACATCACTGTATCTAAAACAGTGTTCTTCATCCCGCTTTACGGAGGTATTCCGAAGCCACCCGAATTATTGCCTGTACCAGTCTCCCTCAATCGATCAGGGTATCCTCGTATCATCCCTCTCATCGCCGGATGATGATGCGGAAGGATGACCGGGCGGACGTTTTAGTTAAGCTCTATCTGTCTCTCGGGACTCGATCGAGTCATTCTTGTGTGTACTTGTCATTCGTAATGGTTTTAGTAACTCTTTCTTGCTTTCGTCACTTGTCATTCAGGTACTAGTATCTGTAAATCAACTCCACTCTTTCTTGTACCTGGCACTAGTAAAATTGTATCTCGGTTCATGGCATGTTAAAACGACTATATCGGCTTATAGTCATTCCTGGCACTCGGCGCATGTCTTTGATCAACACCGGTTCCGTCACTCGTATCTGGTTGAACCAGTACTTCCTTTCTGCCGTTCCTAGGGACCACCACTCCCGTTCCTTGGTTGTTGGTGTATTGGCTCTTTGGTTTGGTTCCCGGTCAAAGCCGTGAAAGCAAGATAGGGTGAACACATCTGTATCGTAATATGGGTATGAGTATAGTATATGTACAAACAGGTAAGTGAACTACTCCTTCGACTGGTCTGCCCGCCGTTTGGTTTGAGGGCCTACATCGACTAGGCCTCCCGCTGACTGAGGGAAGCGATCTGTCTTAAACAAGAAGATTTTCCGGGTGAACAATGAGATGGCATGTGAATGAGTGATATGGGGAGAAGGAATCAATTCTTGTACGTATGATATGGGGTCGGTACGATACACATATGGTGAACAGTCAAAGCGAGGGATGGGGTCTAGTTAAATACGATATGGGGAGATATGGGATACAGCTAATGTCGATAAGGAAGGGAGGGAAGGAGCTATTGCCTTCAACTCAGAGCAGAACGTTCCTTCCGCAACGCAAGGCCTATTTGCTTTCATAGAAGCCAAGGATGAGTTCGATCCATTAGGTTCTTCTATTTGTTCAGAAAAGAAACGAGAGACAAGAAAACATCTTTGATTACGATTAAAAGGAACAATCTAAAATAGACCAAGATCTATCTAATTTCGGGTCATTTCTTGGTGAACATGATCTGCCATAATCTCTTCGATCCCTTCATTTATGTGCCAGAATAAAGAGAGATTTGGTAGGAAAGTGGAAGATACTTTTTTTTTATATGATAATCAAAGGGAGTGGGAAAGCTGCAGTAATTCTTTGGAAAAGCCCGCTTCTTTTTCTTCTCCCTTATTATCCTTTTCTAAGGAACTAAGGAGTTAACGATATCTCGCTTAAGGATATATCTAGCCAAGCGATTCACCTGATCCAGACACGCCAATAGGCGGGTTTGAAGATAGTAAGTAAGAGTAGTGGCATTCTCATCAAAAGGATAAGTAAGTTCGCAATCCAGTGTTAAAGTGAAAAAAGGTGCTTTTTTCTGCGCATATTCCCTGGTGAGGATATGCATATAATATTTTAGGTATTAGAGTGCATCAAGAGTTCGATCCATTAGGTTCTTCTATTTGTTCAGAAAAGAAACGAGAGACAAGAAAACATCTTTGATTACGATTAAAAGGAACAATCTAAAATAGACCAAGCATCTGGTAATTCTGGCCGCCTTTCCACTCCTCACTTTGCTTTCCACCAAGCCAATAAAATCTGCCTCTTGTGCTCTAAAAGGCCTCTCTATGCTTCTCGACTTTACCGATCTTTCTGACATTCCATATAAGGACCTTAATGTGGAACTATTGTTGTTTTTACATTCCCTTCGCACCTTAGCGCTGCCTCTGGTTTTTAGTCGTGTGCAGCCCTTATTTGTCTTTTGTTCTTTGGCCTTGACTTTCCCCATCCGAAACGGAACAATTTGAAAAGACTCATGAACGTCACAGCACGATTAGGAGTCATCGACGTAACGCACAAAATGGTAATAAAATACGTTTGATTCAATTACCATGTTAAAGTCATATTTACAATTTTGGTCCCTGAACTTCGATTATAAACATACTTTAAACCCAAGACTCAAAATCATTTATTTTAACACTTTCTATAATAACAATTTCACCCCTTGACTATATTTTATCTTAAAAACGATTTTATTTATCCTAATTATTCACATGATTTAATTAAGTAATTTTATAAACATCTTAGTTGTTAATTAACTCTTTTTATTTAATTATTTTGTTTAATAACATAAACCCGAAATCATTCTTATGAAAATAGATATTCGATTAACGGAAAACTAACACCGTTTACGGTAGAATTTTCGAGTCGTTACAATTCTCCCCTCCTTAAAATGATTCCGTCCTCGGAATCAGATACCGATACGAACAACTCAGGGTAACAAACCTTCATGTCTTCAACCACCTAGGTCACTTCTGACATGTACATGCCCTCCCATCGGAACTTAATGAACTTG